GATTTTTTTTCTTTTCTGGAATACAGATAATTTTGAACATATCAGAAAGGACTCATATATTCAAAAATATTTGTAGTAGTTCTTTCTGTGGTGGCAAAGAACTGGACACCCGAAAGGGGTGCCCATAAAGTGGGAAATATCTGAATAAATTATGATATATATGAATATAAGACAACATTATTATGCCATAAGAAATGATGAAATAGATGGTTTCAGAGAAACCTGGGAAGACTTGTACAAACCGATGAAGGGTAAAGCGAAGAGAAATAGGAAAACAATTTATACAATGACAATAATTGTAAAGACAAAGAACTTTGAAAGACTTCAGAACTCTGATCAAGGCAATGACCAACCATAATTCCAAGAAACTGATGAAGCATGTCAACCCCACCTCCTGATAGAGAGGTGATGGACTTTAGATACAGAATGAGACACATGTTTGGACATGGTCCATATGGAATCTTTTTTTGTGTTTGATAATACATATTTGTTACAAGAGTTTTAATTTTTTTCTTTCCAATGGTGGGTTGGGCTGGTGACTAAATAAATGCTTATTAATTTAAAAAAATAAACAAAATTAAATGTAAAAATTTAAATCAGCCATTTCAGCAATGCTTTTTAAAGCATCAGATGTACTTTATGGGATAGGACAAAAGCAGAAAATGAAAATGGAACCGTCACAAAGCATTGTGAGAACATTGAAATGTTCGATGTTACTTTTTCTATATGCGTTAGAATGTATCCAAGATAGATTACATATGTTGTAAGCAAGGCAAATATTTTTCTCTGCAATTGTGTTTTCCTATTAACTTTTCACAGAAAAATAAAGAGGTGGCCCTACGTGTAACCATAATCTTCACAATATTAGCACCACTTAGACAATACTGCCTCTAAAGATATGAAGTAAATAAAGTGCGTAGAATAACATGACAAAATAAAAATTGGACATTAAGAACCTAATACAAAACACTTTGCAGGTACTAGATGAGACTCAGAAATAAATAAATCACAGTCTCTGCCCTTGTGGAGCTCTGGTATTTCCTATGGCATTCAGCAGGGGTTTACAATAAATATGCCCAATAACTAGAATGCCAAAAAACCCATACCAAACCAAAACAAAACAAGATAAATTCAGAAGGACAGAGACTGGACCAGTGAGATAACATATTAAAATACTTCACAGACCTTCTAGCTACAATAATTAGATCACTGAGAGGTGAAGTAACTTGCCTCAGAGTTAGGTTTAATTAGGGTTAATTTTCAAATCCATTCATTCCAGCCAGTACAGGTTGGAAGTGGGAGTTAAATCTAACTCTTCCTGGTTTTGAGACCAGTTCTCTATTACCTCATGCCACCTTTGTGCATAAGAAAAATATAACATGCTATTTGAGGCTTTAGGAAAGAGATATTTCCAACTGGAGGGGTGGGAGGAGAGGAAGGAGAAATCAGGGGAGCTTTCATGGTGGAGGAGGCTTTTGAGCTGATTCTTTTTTAACTTTTAATTTTTTTCTTTTTTTTTTTCTTTTTCTTTTTTGGTGAGGCAATCAGGGTTAAGTGACTTGCCCAGGGTCACACAGCTAGTACGTGTCAAATGTCTAGGCCGGATTTGAATTAAGGTCCTCCTGACTCCAAGGCCGGAGCTCTATCTACCACCTAGCTGTCTCTTGAGCTGATTCTTGAAAGATGAGTAGGACTGAATAGGCAAGGAGAGAAAGTAAGACTTTTCAGGATAGAGAAAATGGCAAAAGGAGAGATGCAGAGATGGGTGAAACAAGGCATATACAGTACATAACAAGGGGTCCAGCTGAGGTAGAACATAGAAAAGCTAGAGGGAAGTAGTTGAAAGCAAGACTAGGTAGGCTGGTGTGTCCTCAAAATGCTTTATTGTTGCTTTTTAAAAAACACTGCTATACTTTCCACACCTTATCCTCTTTCTTTCTTTTTTTTTTTTTGGCAATTGGGGTTAAGTGACTTGCCCAGGGTCACACAGCTAGTAAGTATTAAGTGTTTGGTCTGATGCCGGATTTGAACTCAGGTCCTCCTGACTTCAGGGCTGGTGTTCTATCCACTGTGCTACCTAGCCGCCCCAAACCTTAACCTCTTAATCCAACAGAATCTTCCCTCATAACATAGTACAGTTAAGCAACTCAAAACTGTCACACTGACTATATCTGACAACTTGTGCCTTATTCTCTGATAGACCATCTCTTGGAATAAACTGTTCAGCAAAAACAGCAACCACATCTGTCTGCAGCAAGCATATCCCTTGCAATAACCTCAGCAGTGACACATATTAGTAATTCTTTGAAAGTGAATTCTATTTTTCAAAGTAGCCAGAAGTAATTGTGAGCCAGTGGTCATGATTACAACAAATCATACCATTTCTGGCCAAATGGGGAGCATGACTACAAAGTAACAAAACTCATATTCTTGCCTGACTTATAAACTGATTCTGAAAACAGAATTTCAAGTGTTATGCCAATGGCAGCATCACTGGAATAAGTGCATAATATCTCAAGGTAACTACTTCAAAGGGGATAAAATTCATCTAGTTGCATGTATTTTTTTTAACTATATATAACTTTAAAAGATCAATAACCTATGATTTCATTGGTATAGGTACTCTAATGTTGAGATTGTAATAACACAAACCACACTCCTCTCTCTAACTCCGTAGGTGGTTTTCAAGAAATGCAATTGCCAAAAACCTCAACAGCCTGCAACCCACCTGGTGATGAATAGTTTTGACTGTAATTAGATTCAGCTGCAGCCAGCAGATATATAGTCCACCACTAGGCCCGTACTCAAAGCATTTCCATTTGGATATGTCCTATCAGAGACTTCAGTCTATTGGCATGGATTTCAAGAACAGAGGGTAACTTCCATGCCATGATGAGGGATTGGATGAGAACATTAGTGGAGAACTTTTCCTTTCCCTATTAAAAATAAGTAGCAGAGATTGTATGAAGTAGTGGATCTAGAAGTGGCCTCAGAGCTAGAAAGACTCGAGTTCAAGCATTGCCTCTGACACATGCTAGCTCTACAACCACGGGCAAGTCACTTAACCTGTTGGTGCTTTAGGCAGCTAAGGCTACAGCTAAGGTGCAGAGAAATCCCCATCCTCAACTGATAGAAGCAATTTTCTTACCTAGGACTTTCCTAGACCAATGAAATCACAGGTCCACTAACTATCCCTCTATAGTTAGCATATATTAAGTATGTTCCAGGCACTGTGCTACATGTTGGAAATACAGTGAAAGACAAGACCAAAACAGTCCCTGTTCTCAAAGAGCTCACTATCTAATGGGGAGAGACAAGATGGAAAAAAACAACTATGTACATATACATGCTAGATATACATATATATACATACTATTATGATATAGTTCTATAATATAATTACATATAATAGTCAATAAATTATATATATAACATTACATAATAAATTAGAATGTACACAGTTGTTTTTTTGCATGTTGTCTCCTCCCTTTAGTGTGTGTACACACATACATATCCAGAATATATATATATATAAATATGCACACTTATATACACATACATATATACACACATATATGAGATAAATTAGATATAATCACAGAGAGAAGGTACTAGCATTAAGGAACTCTGGAAAAGGCTTCTCCCAGAAGGTGGGTCTTGAACTGAATCTGGAAGGAAGTCAGGGAAGCCTGGAGGTAGAGATGAGGAGGGAAAGAATTCCAGGCAAGGGAGATAGACAATGAAAATGCATATAACATTACTTAAAAAATGTTATTTTATAGTTGTAGGATGCTTCACAAATAATAGACAATTAACAACTCCTTTGAATTGAATTGTAGTTCATAAGCAATCTCTTAATTCTACCCTACTTTTTTTTTTTTTTTAAAGAAGTCAGGCAAATGGATGATCAAGCTACAGTCTTTTACTGGCACTGAAAAGCCCATATATGGTCAAATACCCTACACAGTTAATTCTTTTTTCAAAGAGAAGTCTTAAGGACTCCAAGGTATTTTTTGATTTAGAGATCATATAGCATAACTCCAAGAAACTGAGGCCCATAGTGATTAGGTGACTTGCCCAAGGTCATACACATGAAGCTAGAATCTGGATCTTTTTAAAGGCCCAGAGCCACTTAAGTCCCATATCACCTTTGAATCCTTCCATAAATACTTTAGCCCACTCTCTTCTCTGAAATAAATTCTCTGGAATTTAGTATGTATTATTCATTTTTGCACTTAATCACACACTGCCTTGTGTGTTTTTTCTTGGCCTCGAGTATATAGCCTAACTTTCTAAGAAGATTTTTAAGGTCCTTTGGAAATGAACATCAGATTGTCTTGACTTTTTTTTTTAATTACTCCTAAAATCCATCACACGAGGCAACCATAAAACTCACCACATGATGCAGCCATAGATAGAGAGCTAGCTTCAGAGTAAGGAAGACCTGCGTTCAAGTCTTGCTTCTGATAGATATCAGCTGTGATCCTTGGAAAGTCACTTAATTTCTTAGTGCAACAAATATTTAATAATAATAACAGCTATCATTTATATAGCAATTTAATATTGGCAAACATTTTTACAAATATTATCTCGATTTATCCTCACAACAACCCTGGGAGGTAGGTGCTATTACCGCCCCCCCCCCACCCCTATTTTCCACATGAAGAAATTGAGACAGACAGAGGTTCTGTGACCTGCCTAGGGTCACACAGCTAGTAAGTCTCTCGGGTCAAATTTGAACTCATATCTTTTTGACTCTAGGTCCAGTACTCTACCTACTGGATCACTTTATCCCTAAGATATCTTTGATTACACGTTGAAGAGAAGATGCTAATCTGCATTTGTGGGAGAAGTTTCTCAATTAGGAGTTTTCTATATCAATAAAAGTTTTCTATATATGGGTCTGATCACAAACAAACAAACAAGCAAACCCACCACAGTGGTGAGCTTGTAGCTCACATGCAGCGATCACTTATTGAATGAATTAGAGACAAACTTACTCCGTGGCCCTCGTCGGATGGCCATGCTTAGGAGATTCGGTTCTGATCCGTCTTGATACTGCTCCTGTTGAAAGCTGAGATTAGCTACCCCTTCCAACTGTTCCTCAAGGCCAGAGTCCTGTAGCTGATTAAGCATCAAGGTAAAAGGTTCATTGAAATACCTACAAAACACCACTGTCACCATACTTTAGGAAATGAGTCTCCACTGTTCCACTATGTGCATGTGTTTAGTCATTTGCAGTTGTGTCTGACTTTTGGTTACTCCATTTGGGGTTTTCTTGGCAAAGATACTGGAGTGGTTTGCCATTTCCTTCTCCAGCTCATTTTACAGATGAGGAAACTGAGGCAAATAGCATTAAGTGACTTGCCCAGGGTCACACAGCTAATAAGTGTCAGGCCAGATTTGAACTCAGGAAGATGACTTCCTGACTCCAGGCCTGGTACTCTATCTCTTGTGGCACCTTACTATTCCAATATACTAGCATAAAGGAAGAATTTTAAAAGAGAAGGATCAAATAGGAGTTAGAACATAACATTCTAGTTCTAGAACATAACAGTAGGGTTATAGGATCACAGATTTAGAGTCAAAAAATGGTCTTCAGTGAACCTAGACCAATTGCTTCATTTTACAGATAAGGAAAAAAGTCCAGAGGAAATATGCCTTGCCCAATGTCACCTGGGTGACAGTGACAGTGTTGGGACTTGAACTAAGTTCTTTCAAAGCTAGTGACATTTCCCCATTCATCCATGCTGTTTTTTCTAGACAAAAATTTTCATTTTAAATTGGGCTAATAGGCCCTTATGATTCTAGATTCTTAAGGTTGTCTGTTATGTTACTAACAAATCTCTAAACAAATATTTTAATTTGTTACTATTTAAAATATAAATAGATGTCCTCATTTATGGGTGAGGGTGGTAATGCAAGAAAGCCAGAACAAAGCAGTAGTGTTCCCAGGTTCAAAAACAGATTTGGGAATCTCTCTCAAAGTGCCCAAACATCTCCTTAGCCCTCGATTATTAGGGAAACTACTCACTGCTTTCCTCTTTCTTCCCCTCAATTCTAGGGATGTCTGAGCGGGAACTGAGATAAACAGTGGGTGGAGAAGATGGTGAGGGCTCTCTCAATGCTTCCGCCTATCCTCCACACATGTTACTTCTGGGCTTCCTAAACTCTGCTCTCTACTCCCTTGCTTGGCCCCGCTTCATCCCACAAGCAGTGGCCGTCCCCAGGCAGGAATCCTAAGGACCGGAGATCCCTCTCCTCATGCTGCCTCTACCTCCCGCCCCTCTTTTTTCTCCCATATCAAATTGTCCTCACATGAACCCCGAGCTGTTTGGGTATGGAAAGGAGTGGCCCTTAGAGGATCTGGAAGCGCTAGGAGCTGAAAGCACTGGGGGCTCTTTCCCCCAGTGGCAGGCACTGTGAGCCAACCGCATCTGTGGCAGTGTCTCTAAGCTACTCTGTATGCTCCCTTCCCAGACCCCATTAGTTTTCCCCAGCCAGCTTGCATCCCTCTCTCCTCATTTAATCTGATCCGTGCCCAGGCTAACCCAGCCCCTAGGATGCCAGAGGCATCACATGCTGCTCAAGATGGCGTCCCCTGCCTCCACCGGGAGCCTGGATTCTGCAAAGCTCACTTTGCCTCCCTGCTCCAGGACAAAAGAGTTGGGCTCTGTATGGGCCCTATCTATCGTATCTTCTCTAAAGCCTTTTACCTTAAAATGAGGTTGTTCACAGGCAGAGAGGATGCCCTCCTGGGATCTGGGGAGAGGGGATGGATTGCCAACTCGGATCCTGGGTGCCAGGATTTCTGTCCCAGCTGAATCCAACAAAACGGTTGAAAAAGAAGGGAATCTCAAGGCTTGATATGGAAAAAAAATGAGAGAGCACCAGGGATTTTTAAGCCTGCACTGCCATCTATAGACCACTTTGATTTGTACCTTCAGGCCGGTCCAAAGACTTTCTTTCCTCTCTGCCTGGTCACCAATCACTCTCTTCTCTTTCTCTCTTACAGAAATATCCAATCTCTTGAATCAGAAAATGATACTTACAGGCCTTGTTGGGAAGTGACTGGCTCCAAAACCACATCAAAGCTTCCAAGAGTATTCCTTGTAGCCATTGTTCTAGGAAGGAAGGGTCCAGGCAGCACAGAGCTGCCACTGCTTCCAGTGAAATTTTCCTTTTCGTCCCTTTCCCCAGCCTAGCAGACTGAGGCACCTCGAAGGGAATTACTCATTTCTCTCCCTGCAAGATCCAGAAGTTTGCAGAACCCATCCCAGTTCACCACTCCAGAACTGAAGGAGTTCCCAAGGCAAAAAGCAGCCTCTGAGACATCGAAGATTCCCAGGATCTAAACCTCTGAGTGGTTCAAGAACGATTCAGAGGGGGCATCCTTTTCTTAAGTACACCATTGACCCAGGAAAATTCTAATTCTAATTCTAATGTCTAATCAATTGGCAGATCCTAGAATCATAGATGTAGAACTGGAAGGCAGCCAGGCAGGCCAATGCCATCACTTTACATAGAGGGATGCTGAGGTCTAGGAGGCAAAGCAGCTTGCCTAAGGTCAAACAGACACTAAATGTCAAAGACAGGATTTGAAAGCAGGTCCTTTGACTCCAGAACCAGTGCTCTTTTTCATTGTACTTTGCATGAGGTCTACCTTTCCCACTACCCAGCACTTAACATAATGCCTGGCACAAAGTTGGTGCTTAATAAATGTTCGTTGACCAACTGACTGACTACTGAGTTTGAATCGAATCTGCCTCAGACACTTGCCAACTGTGTGACCCTGGGCAAGTCAATCAAACTTTCAAAACCTCAGTTTCCTCATCTGTAAAATGGGGATAATAATAGAATCTACCTCAGAAGGTTGTTGTGAGGATGAAATAATACAATATATGTAAAGCACTTTATAAAATCTAAAATATTATATTATTATTACCATTAATTCTACATTCCTATCCACCTAGAACTCAACCACTTACCATGATTCTAGGTGGGAAATATCATTTCTAGTTCAGGTTCCTCTCCTGGGGCTAGTCATTTGCCCTAAAAATGTTTTTTTTTTTTAAATTCCTAATATAAAGAACTTTAAGATCATCTATCTTCTAGTCGATTAGCTAATAGGAATAATAAAAATAACTGATATCTATGTAAGAATTTACTATAACTCTGTAAAATTAGTTCAGGAATTCATAGAATTCCTGTTTTAGAGTTAGGGAAATTCAGATAAGGGAAGCTAAGTGACTTGTCCAAGGTTACACAGCTATTAAGTATCAGCAGCAGGTTTCAAACTCAGATCTTCATACCTTCAGTCCATTGCTTCTTTCTGCTAAGTTCCACTGCCCCTTTTGTTTGTGAGCATCAAATCAAATGAGCATCCCTGGCTTTGTCATCCAATCACAACTCTTTGATCTCCCTGAACTCAGAAATTCCTAGGTGGTCCCCTCCCCAAACATGAAAGTCAGAAAAGAATTAGCATGAATTAAAGTGAATTGGAGACCTTTCTCCTCAATCCAGAGTCCAACATGGCTGGCCACCCAAGGATAGTAATTGACTGAGATTGTGTTTTGCCACCTGACTCTAAATCTGCAATGATTGGACCACCAGGTACAATGGTCCTTAAACCCCCCTCCCATCCACATTCATTTCTGTCCCTCAGCTTCAAGAGAAGTTTAGCCTAGTAAACAATTCATGAATACATGATAAGGTGATACCCCATGTCTGACTCCCAGTGCTCCCATGGGGAGGCATCTAGTTGGTGCAGTGGATAGAACAATGGACTTGGAATCAGGAATACTTGAATTTGATCCCTTACTCAGAAATTTGGTAGCTGCGTGACCCTGGACAAATTACTTGACCTCTCTCAACTTTAGTTTTTTTTATCTATAAAATGGGAATAATAATAGCACCTACCTCATAGTTGTGAGGATCAAATGAAATAACACATGTAAAACTACTCATAAAACTAAAAGAACTAAATAAATGTCATGATGATGATGATGAGGAGGAGGAGGAAAAGGAGAAGGAAGACGATAATGATGAGGATGTTCGTTATATGCTGAGATGTAAAGTAAAAAAAATTTATGGGTAAAGTACTAAAAATAAAAACAATGTTAATATTTTAAGGGGTCTACGACTTCAGTGAAGTGCAGATCACAATTCATTGAAGCCTCCCAATCCCAAATGGCTCTTGCCCATGTCCTACCATAAATCCTTCACAAGAGCTCTTCTCAACATACTAGAAGACTTCTTCTGGCCCATGGTTTCTTACTCTTTTTATGTCATGTATCTCTTTAGCAATCTGGTGAAGTTCTTCTCAGAATAACATTTTTTAAATGTATGAGATAAAATATATGATTACAAAGGAAACCAGTCATATTGAAATAAAGAAGTAATTTTTCTCCAACCAACCTCATGGACTCCCCGAAATCTAGCCATGGGACCCCAGGTGAAGAACCCTTTCTCTAGGTCTCTTGGTTGCCAGCTATCCAGGCTATTATATGTAATTGGATGGATAACCACAGTGTTAATCCATTACCACACAATTGTTCAGACCCTGAAAGTGGACAATGAATTGGGTCCAGAATTAAACATGAGGAAGAGAGCAAATTGGATTATATTTGAGGAATTATACAGTGCTTTTAAGTTTTTCCATGAAACAAACAAAAAAACCCAACAACTTTTAAACACCAATATTTCTCTAGGGGATGGGTGCAATGTGCCATAGTGAATAGACTACTGAGTTTGTGGTTAGGAAGTCCTCAGTTCAAACCTAGCCTTTGACATTAACTATGGAAAAGTTATGAAGTCTTTGTTTGTCCCAGGTAATTCCCTAAGACTTATCTTCAGTCAGATTGGTTATGGATCCAGTAGCATATAAGGTTAAGGGTAGATAGCCAGGTATATGAATTTGCAGAGGGGGATTCCTCGAGCTGACAAAACCACAGATCTCCCATGCATTCACATATTTTGGTAATGTAGTACAACTACAAATCATTCAATACAATTGCCATAGAATCAAAATTGCAGACCACTGAAAGGGCAATGGATAGCTATGGAATGGGTGTGAATAGCTGTAGTATATCCCCAATGAAGGCCACCTGCATGAAAAAAGTGAAAGAGATTTATGACCAGAAAAGTAGAAGGTTTGGTTAGAAAAGCAAGGGATAATGGAAGAAGAACCCATGTGCTGTGTTGGTACCCATATGATGCTACAACATTGTTAAAGTTAGACATTAATTGAAAAGACAAACATCAGAATAGTGATAACCCTACCTGTTTCCTTCTTTGTTTTTGAACTTTCAACTTTTTCTTCAGTTTTTCTGCCTCCTCATCTTCATTTTCAATAAACTCCTTTATCCAAAAAAAGATAAAGTTGAAGTATAGGTTTATTTGCTTAAATTTAAAGCAATTTAACAGTAAAAGATCTAGTACTATATTTTTAAATATTAAAGACAAAATCACAGCAAAAATGAAAAGGCTCAGGCCCTCTACTTAATTCTGTTAGCCTTCATTAGGAAATAGGAGACCACATCCCTCACTGAACATAACCATTACCCTCATCACTGCCACCCCACCACCATCAATGTCACCATCATTATTGGCACCAGGTGCTATAATATGAAGGACACTGAACTAGGAGTCAGAGACTGTGATCAGATCCTGGCTCTGTCACTTACTAGCTGTGTAATCTTAGGAGAGTCACTTAACTCTCCTGGGCCTCGGTTTCCTCATTTGTAAAATAGCAGAGTTTGACTTCATGACCTTTAAGGCCCTCTTTGTTTCTAACATTGTGTAACTCAATTAGATGTTTTTTAATTATTATTCAGAGGGCTGTATAAAGCCATTCTGTATCATTGTTCTTTCATCCTCTCTCTCTTTCTCTCTCTCTCCCCCATCCTTCCCTCCCTCTATATCTATCATAGATATCCATGTATCTATTATATATATATGTAAAAATATACATTTTTATACGTGGATAGATAGATTCATTCATGACTTTATATCAGATCATATCATTCAGGACTTTATATCAGATCATAGGATCAGAGATGTAGACTTCAGACTTCACATGTTCCAACCTTTTCATTTTATAGATGAGGAAACTGAAGCCCAGGGAGGTGTTAACTCACCCCAGATCATGTATTGCAACATTCTTGAGGATAGGAACTGTCTTTTGCCTCTTTTTGAATCCCTGGCACAGTGCCTGGCTCTTAGGAGGCACTTAATAAATGTTTATTTAATTATTATTGAATATACATGTACACATATGTATACATGTATGTATGTAGGTATAAGTATATATGTATGTATGTGCATGTATATATGTATATACACATATATTTATACACACACATAAATATATGTATATTAAGCTTAGAGGTGAGGTTTGACCCCAGGCCATTTAACTACAGTGCCAGTGATCTTTCTACTCCTTGCCTCCTATCATAGGTGGGTTCACAGAAATTTTATTCTAGTAGATATTTTTTCCAATTTCCTCACAATTTGCCTTTGGCCCTACAAGTGTTTATCCAGATTCCACGAAAATTGCTCTGGTCCTTTTATTCAGGACATATTCTGGGGCAACCACACTTGCTGGTAGGGAAAATGTGTAGTTTTGGAGAGTTAATAGTAGGAACCCACTTTATAGTTATAAAGCACTATAAATACTTCATCTCATTTGAGCTTTACTACAATCCTATAAGGCAGGTCCTAGGAGCTGCTTCAGAGGCAAGAAAGCTTTCTGGGAGTGAATAGGAAAATTGTCTTGACTCTGTTGACTGAAGAGGAGGAGTCATAATGGGACAG